TGGCTTTGTAGGTGGTGGCTTTACCCATGGAGCCATAATGCCTACGCCACGCATGATTGTTGTAGGACTCAACACAGGCTGCTCGTGACTTGCAGAGTGAGCCGATCACTGGCTGGGGGTGGTGGAGGAAAACAGGTACTTACTTGCAAAGTGCAGAGCGAGGAGCTGGGCAAATCTCTGCTTAAGTCCCAGGCTCTGCACGGGGTCGGGGTAAATGTTCCTTTCTACAACTCTGATTTTCAAATAAATTAATAAATGTTTAAAAAAAAAAGACAAAAGCAAACATCAAGCTGTTATCGACTGAGGAGATAAAATGACCTCATGGGCCTCAGGATCAGGGACAGCGCGGGGCCAACTGCGTCACTTCTAGGAAGAAGAAACTCTAAGCCACGGGAGGAAGAGATGCGGGAGTGCAGCGCCCACAGCAAAGACACCACAGGGCTCCGATTCCCCGCCACGGGCAGTGGAGACGTCACGGGATGCCTTCCGGGAACTGTGGTCCGGGGCGAGCGCCGCAGCCTGCATTCAGCAGGCTTCCCTTTTCCGTCACCTTTGTCAGCAAGTCCCTGTGGGGTTCCACAGGACAGCCCAGGACAGCGCCAGCTGTTCATTTAGCTGATCTGCCCAAGAGCCAGGCGCAGGCCCTCAGTGGTTCACCGGAACCCCAGCCCTGTGGCCCCACCCTTAGCAGATGCTTGCTGTCCCCGGGCCTCTTGAAAATGAAACACCCCGGCCAGCCAGTGCCTTTCTGGGACCGTGTCCCTGTCACCATCAGCGGGGTGAGGGCACCAGCCGAGGGGTCCGTCCATGGCGTCTGTGGCTCAGCAGAGGGCGCTCCTCTTCACGGGCGGGCTCCTGGCCAGGGTTTCTTGCTGAGAAGCACCATGGCGGTCAGAAGCTTATGCTTTACCCCGGGGCCTGCCAAGTCTACCCTCAGGATTGCTTACTTGGGGCCAGCCTTGTGGCACAGCGGGTTTTGTTGAGGCTGGCAACGCCAGCTTCCTGTGTCAGTGCCGAGTCCAGTCCCAGCCACTCTGCTTGCAACCCAGCTCCCTGCTCATGCACCTGGAAAGGCAGCGGAAGATGACCAAGTCCTGGGCCTACACCCACGTGGGAGACCCGGATGGAGTTCTGGGCTCCTGGCTTCAGTTGGCCCAGCTCCAGCTGTTGCCGGAATTTGGGAGTGAACCAGTGAATGGATGATTTCTCTCTCTCTGCCACTCTGCTTTCAAATAAATAAATCTTTAAAAAATCTGAATGGTGGCCAGCGCCGTGGCTCACTAGGCTAATCTTCCGCCTGCGGCACCGGCACTCCAGGTTCTAGTCTCAGTTAGGGCGCCGGATTCTGTCCCGGTCGCTCCTCTTCCTGTCCAGCTCTCTGCTGTGGCCCGGGAAGGCAGTGGAGGATGGTCCATAGTCCTTGGGCCCTGCACCCACGTGGGAGACCAGGAGAAGTACCTGGCTCCTGGCTTTGGATCAGTGCGGTGCACTGGCCACAGCGCGCTGGCCGCAGCGGCCATTGGGGGGTGAACCAACAGAAAAGGAAGACCTTTGTCTCTCTCTCAATGTCCACTAATCTTAAAAAAAAAAAGAAAAAAGAAAAAAGAAAAAAATCTGAATGGTGTAACAGATTAGAAAAAACACATGAAGAGTCTTCAAAAAGTTCATAGAAAATGCATATTATGGAAAACTGCAGGGATTTCAAAATTTTTGTACCAAAATAAATATATTTCTTAAAAAAGATTTATTTATTTACTTGAGAGGCAGAGTTACAGACGGAGGGAGAGACAGAGAGAGGGATCTTCCATCTGCTGGTTTGCTCCCCAGGTGGCTGCAACAGCCAGAGCTGGGCTGATCCAAAGCCAGGAGCCAGGAGCTTCTTCCGGGTCTCCCACATGGGTGCAGGGGCCCAAGCCCTGGGGCCATCTTCTGCTGCCTTTCCAGGCCATAGCAGGGAGCTGGGTCGGATGTGGAGCAGCCAGAACTTGAACTGGCATCTAAAAGGGATGCCAGCACTGCAGACGGCAGCTTTACCCACTACGCCACAGTGCCGGCCCCTAAACTTATCTTTTAATTCCATTTTTTCCCATAGATTTTTTTTTTTGAGAGGCAGAGTTAGACAATGAGAGAGAGAGAGAGAGACAGAGAGAAAGGTCTTCCTTCTGTTGGTTCAACCCTCAAATGGCCACTACGGCCAGCGCACCACACTGATCCGAAGCCAGGAGCCAGGTGCTTCTCCTGGTCTCCCATGGGGTGCAGGGTCCAAGGACTTGGGCCGTCCTCCACTGCCTTCCCGGGCCACAGCAGAGAGCTGGCCTGGAAGAGGGGCAACCGGGACAGAATCTGGCGCCCCGACCAGGACTAGAACCCGGGGTGCCAGTGCTGCAGGCGGAGGATTAGCCAAGTGAGCCACGATGCCGGCAAAAAAAATGTTTATTTATGAGAGGCAGAGAGACAGACAGACAGACAGACAGCAGACAGAGCCCGTGACAGCAAGAACTCCCATATGCTGGTTTATTGCCCAAATTTCCGTAACAGCCAGGATTGGGCTGGGCTCAATCCAGGAGCTAGGGACTTCATCCAGGTCTCTCATGTGGGTGGCAAGAACTCAACCCCTCGAGCCATGATCTTTGCCTTCCAGGGTGCACACTAGCAGTAAGCTGGGACCAGGAGCTCTGGCCAGGGACTGAGCCCCGCGCCCCGCCGCGGGATGCGTGCTTGCCAACTGGTGACTTAGCCACAGGTCCAACTCCCAGCAAGCTGCTCTGCCCCCTCCCAGGCCTTCAGCAGGTCCAGGTCTTTCTCTCCCCCGACTGCTTCACTCCTCCCCCGGCATGAGCTGAGTGCCTACTGAGTGCCAAGGTGTGCCCACCCGCCTTGAGGAGACACCAGCGAGATCCGTGTGCAAACAGAACCCTTTACAACCCACCGGCAAAAGGGCAACGGGATGGTGTGCAGAGGGCCTCATGGGAGCCCAGAGGCCAGCATGCGAGGTCGGGGCGGGGGCGCCATCTGGACGAGGCAACCCCAAGGTGAATCATGAAGAATGGCCAGGCACAGCAGCCTTTTAGGGTCACGGGTTTGCTGAGGGCTGTGGATTGAGAATAACTCAATTACGAAAGCTCAGGCAGAGAACTGGCGGCATTTGGTGCAGTGCTGAGATGTCGCTTGGGATGACTGCCAGGGTCGCATATTGGAGGGCCTGGGTTCGAGGTCTGGCTTTACTTTTTCTTTTTAAGGATTTTTATTTGAAAATATTATTTATTATTTAAGGATATTTATTTGAAAGTCAGAGTTACAGAGAGAAAGAGAGGGAGAGAAAGTGATAGAGGGAGAGAGGGAGAGAGGGAGAGATCTTCTATCCTCTGGTTCACTCCCCAATTGGCTGCAATGGCCGGAGCTGTGCTGATCTGAAGCCAGGAGTCAGAAGCTTCTTCCAGGTCTCTCCTGCGGGTGCAGGGGCCCAAGGACTTGGGCCATCTTCCACTGCTTTCCCAGGGCATTAGGAGGGAGCTCGATCTGAAGTGGATCAGCCGGGACTCGAAGTAATGCCCATATGGGATGCCAGCACTGCAGGCAGTGGCTTTCCCTGCTATGCCACATCGCCGGCCCCTGGCTTTACTTCCAATTGCAGCTCCCTGCTAAGGGACACTCAGGGGGGCACCAGGGGTGGTCCCTGCCACGCATGTGGAGTCCCAGTTCCTGGTTTTGGCCTGGCTAAGGAAAATATCTGTTGGTGTCTCTGCCTTTCAAATAAAATAAATAAAAATTGAAGAAGAATAGAGTTCACGTGGTGGATTGCCGAGGGACGTTCCCCACGAGCTCAGCCCGGGAGGGCAAATCCCGGGAGGCACTGAGGATTTGGTACAGCAAAGCTGGGCCTGGGAGAACTTGGGGAGACACCCCCCCAGCTCTGGACCTGAGTCCAAGCTGCTGGGAAACTGACCTGGGCAACACGGCTCCTCCCCAGCTGGGACTCCCACCTCCTCCCTATTCTGTGCTCCTCTGTGGGTGGTCGGGAACCGAGCAGTGATGACATGGGATTCTCCAGCAACCCCAGGAGGAAGGAATTAGACGAGAAGATTTGGCCAAGGCCACGCAGCAGGCCAAGATTTGAAGCCCCGGGGGACTGAATCTGAACTCTGGCGAAGGTCAAGGTCAGGGGCGCAGGCACATGAGGAACAGCCGGGCTGGGCTGCAGCTGCGGTCAGAGGGGTGTTGTTCACACCAGGGGTTCTCCCCCCGGGAAGGCCCCTGGGGGACGGAGCCAGATCCCATGTCTGCAAAGTGGCACTGCTGGGAAGGAGGAGGGCGGGCAAGGTCTCCACCCGGTCCCAAGTCGGGCTGCGTTATTACTCATCAACTCCTTAGAGCCTGTGCAGTCTAAGCTGGCTTGAGGGGCTGCCAGGCTACACAGTAGGCAAGAAGGCTGGGGGAAGGAGCATCTCCTGCAGGCCAATAGCCAGTACTTGCTCTCTCTGTCTCCCTGTCTCTCTCTTTCAGATTTATACATTTACTTGAAAGGCAGAGTTAGACACAGAGACAGAACGATCTTCCATCCACTGTTTCACTCCCCAGCTGGTCACAGTGGCCTGGGCAGGACCAGGACGAAGCCAGGAGCCAAGAGCTCCATCCAGGTCTCCCACGCAGGTGCAGGGGCCCAAACACTTGGGCCATCTTCCACCACTCTCCCAAGTGCATTGGCAGGGAGCTGGATCAGAAGTGGAGCAGCGGGGACCTGGCCCACGCTCCGATATGGGACGCCAGCATTGCAGACAGCAGCGGACGCCACTGTGCCACAGCGCCCGCCCAGCATTCACTCTTTCCAACGGGGTGGAGCAGAATGAGTTCTAGAAGTTTCTCAAGGACACAGGGAGCTATCCAGGGACAGCTGCCGGGCAGATGTGTCAGGTGAACAAGCATAAACACAAGTGTTCCAGGGGCAGATCCAGAGATGGAAAAGAAAAACTACTTAAAAAAAAAAAACACACACAAATATTTTTTTCTTTTTTTTTTAATTTGAGAGGGAGAGACAGAGAGAGCTCTCCCACCTGCTGGCTCATCCCCAAATGTCCACAATGACTGGGCCTGGGCCAGGGCTGGAGCCAGGAGCCAGGAACTTAATCCAGGTCTCCCACGCAGGTGGCAGGAACCCAATCACCGGGGCCATCTGTGCAGTCTCTCAAGGCGTGCATGGGCAGCTGGAGCCAGGATCCGACTCAGGCTCTCTGAGAGGGGGCACGGGGGTCTCGGCCAGCATCTTAACCACGAGGCCCAACGCCTGCCCGACAGCCCTTTGACTGCGGGGGAAGCAGTCTGCCCTGGGCCCCTCTGGGAGGCGGATCAGCTGTTGCTGGCTGGGGCTGCCCTGCAGGTGGACGGCTCACGGTGTCCTCTGGCTGACCTGGCCCCAGGTGTCCCCAGGAGCAGGGTGGACGCGGGCTGAGGGGCCGGGCCCTTGGCAGCTCAGATGGTTTCTCTGAGGGGAGACGTGCCCAGCGGCTGAAGGGCGACGTCCTCACCCTTCTCCTCCACCTCTTTCTTGGGGGCGCCTTCTTTGCCTCTGTTGAAATAAAAAGGTCAATGGAAAAGACTGGTGGCCGGCAGGTGGTGTGCGTGTCTCGGCGACAGTGTTGCCGTTGGCGAGACGGCTGTGTCCCAGCTCCAACTCCCAAGGGGAGGTGGCTGCCGGGGTTGTCTCAGGGCACCCCCTGGGCATCGTCACGCCAGCCCTCGAGCTGCACCTCCACTCTGCTGCACCCCTGAGGTCTGACAGCGGCAGAGGCTGGCCTGGCTGCTCGTGGCCTTGGAAAGGCTACAGGTTTACCAGGTCCAACCCACGATGAGGACCTCGAGGCCCATGCAGCCCAGCTTGGCTGGTGATAGGCGCTGGGCCTCGGATGCGCTGGCCTGTGGGCCGGGGCACCAGTGGAGATGCCCGGGCTGCTTGCAAGGAGGCAGTGGTGGGGGGATGGAGGACAGCAGGGGTCCCTGGGGGGCCTGGCCCCGGCCCCGCTGTGCCTGATTCTCCTGTAGTCCTCCAGTGTCAGCAATGCTGAGTGTTCCAGCCACACCCAGACTGCATCTCTCAGTCTGTCACCTCCTGGCTTTAATCCTTTGCGTATCTTCTATTTGAAAGGCAGAGTTACAGAGAGGCAGAGGCAGACAGAGAGAGAGAGAGATCTTCCATCTGCTGGTTCACTCCCCAGATGGTCAGAGCTGGGCCAATCTGAAGCCAGGAGGCAGGAGCCAGAAGCTCCTTCCAGGTCTCCCACATGGGTGCAAGGGCCCAACGACTTGGGCCATCTTCTACTGCTTTCCCAGGCCATAGCAGAGCTGGATGGGAAGTGGAGCAGCTGGGACTTGAACTGGCACCCATACAGGATGCTGGCACTGCAGGCAGCGGCTTTACCCACTATGCCACAGTGCCAGCCCCTTCCTTTGTATATCTTGCCCAGGTCTCTTGTCTCCTTAGTTCTTTGAAAGACAGTTACAGAGAGAGAAAGATCTCCCACTAGTTGGTTCACACCCCCAAACAGCCACAATGGCTGAGTCTGGGCCAGGCAGCAGCCAGAAGCCAGGAACTTCAGCCTGCTCGTCCATGTGGGTGGCAGGGGCCCAAGGACTCGGGTCATCTTTCACCGCCCCCCAGGTACATTAGCAGGGAGCTGGACCGGCACTCCGATACGGATGTCAGTGTCGCAGGCAGCTTAACCCACTGTGTCAGCACCCCGGCCCCTAAATCTCTTTTTTTTAAGTTAAAAAAAAATGAAAATTTTGCTACCGCTCACGACCTGTAATACCGAGGAAGTTCCCAGACAGACTGCGGGAGCTTCCTCCCCCATCCCCACAGGTGCTCCCGCACTGGCGTCACTGTTCCAGTCTCTGCGGCTGGGAATAGGGAAACGGCACCGCCGTGCTCGGCTGTGGCTGCTTGGGGAGCACCGTCAGCTGCTCTGCCTCCTCTGCTGCTCCAGTAACTGGGACATCACCCTAACTGGGTCTCCCGAAGAGGGGTTGACACACGCGGTCCCAAAGCCACTGCCTGGAGGACCAGGGTCCCGGCAGGCTGAGCAGCACGGATGCTAAGGAGACGGAGAGAGTTCTTCTTTCTATTCATTTCCTGTCACTTGAAAGACAGACATTTTCCATTCACTTGCAACAGCCAGGGCTGGGCTAGGCCAAAGCCAAGAGCCTAGGTCGTCATTCAGATCTCTCCGGACATGGCAGGGACCCAACCATCTGTGCCATCCCATGCTGCCTCCCGGGGAGTGCATGAGCAGGGGGCTGGAACTTGAACCCAGGCACTCCTGCATAGGATGTGAGCACTCAACAGCCACACAAGCATCTGCCCTAGTGGCCCAGAGAGTTAAGCTGTCACCTGTGACACTGGCATCGCACATGGGTGCCGGTTCAAGTCCCGGCTGCCTCGCTTCTGATCCATCTCCCTATTAATGCACCTGGGAAAGCAGCGGAAGATGGCCCAAGTGCTTGGGCCCCTGCACTTGCGTGGGAGACCCAAATGGAGTCCCAGATTCCTGGCTTCACCAGGGCTGGACAGGCTATTGTAGCCATTTGGGGAGTGAACCAGCAGATGGAAGACCTCTCTATCTACCTCCCTTTCTCTATAACTCTCCCCTTCAAATAAATATTTTTTTTAAATCTGCCCCATAAAGATCTTTTTAAAAGTCAGACCACATCAATCCCTTCTTCTGAGGCCTGGAGTGGTTCCTGCCTGACCTCTCCCTGCCTTCCTGCCTGGCTGGGACCTCAGGGGGCTTCACACCTGTTCCCCCATCCAGGGACCCACTTCTCCCCCTCCCAAGCTAACTCCTCCTCCGTGGAGTGTAGACTGTGTCAGAGGCAGTGCCAGCCACCCACCCATTCCCTCTTCCTTCCACTGAGGTGTGTGCGTGTTTTCCTGGTGTGGCCCCTTATTCTGTAAGCTCCAAGAGAGCAGAGGTCGCGTCTGCATTGCTCACTCTATTCCCTACACTGTTAGCACTGGGGCTGCACCTCAAGGAATAGTAAACAAACAACAAACAAACAAACTAGGGTTCAGAAAGCCCAAGTCAAACCCCAGGTAAAATCCACGGCCCCTCCTGGCCAGTGGTGACCCGTCTTCCTCTGCAGAGGCTCCCGCCGGGCTCGGCCCAAGGCCAGGCTCTGCTTTCTCAGTGTCCTGGGGTAGCCATAACACCTGTTACGACCTGCGAGTGCCCCATATTGGAGTGCCTGGGTCCCGGTCCTGGCTCTGCTCCTGATTCTGGCTTCCTGCTAATGCACACCCTGGGGAAGCAGCAGTGATGGCTCAGAGAGCTGGGTCCCTGCCCCCAACGTGGGAGACCAGGATGGAGTTCCTGGTTCTGGGCTTCGGCACAGCCCATGCCCAGCTATTGTGGGAATTTGAGGAAGGACTCAGTGGATGGGAGACCTCTGCTCTCTGCCTCTCTGATAAATAAATCACATAAAATTAAACAACAAATAGTAGGGGAGGACATTCCCCCCCATGTACAAGGAGACTTCAAATGATAAGTTGATCTGGGTGCAAAAATTTTGAAAACCATGCATAGTTTTCATAACACGCATTTCCCATGAAAATTTTGAAGATTCTACATATGCATGGATTTCAAAATGTTTTGCACCCAAATAAACTTCTCTTTTAGTTCAGTTTTCTGTATCTCAAGGTCCAACAAGGAGGCTCCAGAGTGAGTTGCAGGCAAAAGTTCACCCAGCATCAGGAGTGCCTGCACCTGTTACCCGTGGGATACGCAAGGGTCGAACGGACAAGGAGCACGCGGGAGAGGATTCTGGGCAGAGGGAGCAGGCTCTGGGGCAGCAGGCTGACCATGGTGACAAATGCAGGGGCCACAGGAGGAGAGCCTCGTAAACTTTCAATTTTATCCTCAGAGCAAAAGGGAACCTCTGAGGGGTTCTGGAGGAAGGCGGTGCCAGGATCCGGCACAGAGGAGAAAGGATGGCGGCTTGGAGGAGGGTGAGCCCGCAGAGGCGTCGCAGACGGGTGCACAGCTGCCCAATACTTCTGGGGGCCTTTCCTTCATCCCTGGGGCTCCACGCCCCTCCCCGCGCCGCGCCAGGGGCTCCGCACCTTCTCTCCATCGCGGCGATCGTCTCCACCAGCGGTGCGTTGCGGGTCTCCGTTAGGAAGCACAGGACAGCCACTCCGGCCAGGATGGAGGTGGCCCCGAAGCTCACGGGTGGCAGGAAGGCGCTGACCTCCCCGAGTGTGGTGAGCAGGGGCGCTGCGAGGCCCCCGAGGCGAGCGCTGACCGATGCAAAGCCCATCCCCATCTGCCTGCGGGAGAGGCACGCGCGTGGGTCGGGCAGGGCCGGTGGCCGGCCAGGGACACCAAGAGGGCCGAGCGGGTACCCGCCCCGCGCTCCTGCCCTGTGCGCACCTGATCTCCGTGGGGTACAGCTCGCCCGTGAACAGGTACACGCAGATGAAGGAGCTGGCCAGGCAGCCTTTGCCCAGCGCCGCCTGCGCAGTGCGCACCGTCTGCATGGCTAGGGTGGAGGGAGGCAGAGCTGAGGGTGGGGGTCTCAGGAGGGAAGGGGGCAAGAAAGGGTGACGTTCAGGGGCACAAGGGTGGGGGTCAGAGGCAGAGCCACGTGGGAGGGGGCAGGGGCGGGCAGAACCGCGAAGACAGCCTGGGTTTGTTTCCACCTGGGACGCAGAGATCCCAAAACTGCGCCCACTTCTGCCTCCTTCCGGGCTCGGTGCCCCTTCGCCCTAAGTCTACGGGGAGTGGGGGGGAGGCAGGACAAGGCTTTGGTGTCAGGCCTGAGTCCAGGTTGGAGCCCAGCTGCGCCCCTGCTGGGTGACCTTGGCCACTGATGCTCACCTTGTGTGAGCCTCTCTGTCCTAGGTCCTCCTGCGTGGGGACGGTCGTGGGGGGCTCATTACACTTCTGCGGTTACCTTCATTGTTAGCGCGTGCGCCCATTCTGCGGCTGCCATGGCTAACAGGTCCCTGTGCAGCTGTGCCTCATCACCGCCGCGGTCAAGGGGGTCATGGAATCAGGTGGGGAGACTTTACAAAACACACTCACCTGGGCCTACCCCCATCCAGCTGAGCAAGGCTCAAGGTCAGGTATTTTTTTAAAGATCCCCCAGGAATTTTAAAATGTAGCCAGAGTTAAGAAACACCAAACTAGACAAAATATAGGGGTAGGACATCAGGCATGCAACCTGCTACAGGCATGTGTGGGTTACAATGTATAACGAAAAAGGGGGTATCCATGTATCCACTCACTCCCGTATGGTCCTAGTTATATATACACACACGTATCAAAAATATGATCTCAAGGCCAAAATCTATGCATAAGAAAAAATATTTGAAAAATATCTCAAAGTATCCATAACATCTGTCCGTTTTACAGGTGAGAAACTCAAGTGCAGAGAAGTTAGCTGGACAGCCCGCTGAGGCCGTGGAGGCCAAGCCGGGTTCACATCTGAGTGGCAAAGCTGGGGTCTCGCGTGGGCACACGGGTCAGCACACACTTGAGGTCACTGATCCAGAGCCCCGGCTTCTTGCTGGAATCCCCGGACGGTGTTGAAAACACCAGCAGGGTGGGCCCAGCTCCTGGAGATTCCCATTGCATTGGCACGGACGCCTGGGCACTGGAGTTTTCCAAGGGCTCCAGGAGAAAGGAGCTCCATCCATCCAGGTTTGCAAGCCCCTGCTCCAGGGCCAGGTCTGGCAGAGGTCCAGACCCTCGCCTCTCCACCCTTGCACGTGCTGCCTGGCCAGACTCCAGGTCGACGCACATGGTCTGGCCGCCCAGAGACGGCTGTGGCTTTGTGTGGTCTCACGTCCTCGGCAGAGCCTCCCTGGGCACTTAGTGCTTAATAAACTCTGCTCACTGCCAGTCTCTTTCCAGACCCAGAAACGTGCCTGTGAGGGCCCGAGGCACCTGCCTCTCCTGGAGCCCTGTGTCCGGGAGCCCCGGCGCACGGTGAGGGCAGGAGCAGAGGATGGCTCACCTTCAGGCACAAACATGTTGGCGATCACCGTGAGCCCGGCCATGATGAGGAAGGAGGCCACCGTGGCCCGGCGGCCCACGTAAATCATGGTGATGGTGGCCAGCAGCATGGCCGGGATGTCGATGATCCCAAACAGCGCCTGCACCAGGTAGAGGCTGAGCCCAAACTTGTGCAGGTCCATGGCCAGGCCGTAGTAAGCCACGGAGTTGGAGAACCTGGGAGAGGTGGCAGAACGGGTCTGTTTGCCCCACGGTTCAAGGTTGTGGGCTGGGGACAGGAACCACAGGGATGGGGGACAGGAACACCTATTCTCTGGGACTTAAAGTTCCCCTGACTTCCCACAACCTCTCTCCTGGTCTCCAAGATGCCCGACTTTGGCCTTGGCACCCAGGCCCATCCCTTTCCAACCACCCACTGCCCCGAACCCAGTCTGCAGACCCTGCCCTGGGCTTGGTTTTCTGTGTCAGCACCGTTTTAGCATTAAAAGGAAGGCAGTGCTAAACAATACAAAGGGAAGGAGGTTGGGGACTTGTTGAAGGGCACGGAGCCAGCTGGAAGCACCCCCACTGGCCACGGCCAGGACCATCTGAGAAACAGTCATAATGTAACAGGTACTCAATAAAGTAAAGAATGTTCCGGAAGGATAAGCCACAGGCCAAACCACGGGCGTCCACACAAATAAGTAATTTCATGAATTAATCCGGAAGACACACAGCCAGCCCTCCATAGCCAAGGGTTCTACACCCAAGGATTCAACTCACCCAGATCAAAAATACTACAAAAAAAGCAGTGTCTGTACTGAGCAGGTGCTTTTTTCCCTTGTCATTATTCCCTAAACAGCACAGCATAACTGCTGTTCACAGAGTGGTGACCCCTGGGAAGGCAGAGGGACACTCCGTCGAAAGCTCCCTGGGCTCCATTCCCGGTCTTCCCTTGACAAAGTGTCTGCCCACCTGGTGGGGGGCGGATGAGGGGCAGCCCGTGAGCAGCCAGCTCCACACGACACGCAGTCGTCCCGCAGAGACGGCAGCAGGACGAGCTGGGAGCCAGGGAGTGAGGCTGGGTGGGCAGGGGCAATGGACCAGGTGTCCTAGGCTTTAAGCTCCCTTCCATCTCACAATTCTGTGGTTCAGAATATTCCAAAACTGGAGGGGGGGGCATTTGGCCTCATGGTTATGCTGCCAACCGAGACACCTGTGTCCCACATCAGACCTCCAGGGTTTGAGGCCCGCCTCCCACTCCTGGCTCCAGCTTCCGGCTGATGCATGCCCTGGGAGGCAGCCTGATGGCCCGAGTGCTTGGGCCCCGACCACCGACATGAGACACCTGCCTTCAGTGAGCTCCTGTCTCCTGGCTTCAGCCCGGCCCAGGGCCCCCAGCTGTTGTGGGCATTTGGGGAGTGAACAAGCAGATGGGAGCTTTCTCTCGCTCGCTCTCTCTTTCGCTCTCTGCCTCTCAGATTAAGCAATTAAATAAACAAATAGATCTCCCCTACGTGCCATCTTCTCCGGGAAGTGCTCACCAGCCCCACCCAGGAGAACTCTGCCGGGGTTCATGGAAAGTATTGTTTCCCTGCCTGTCCCATCTGGATCCAGAAGTGGTTTTCTTTTCTAAGTTTTTATTTTATTTATTTGAAAGGCAGAGTTACAGAGAGAGAGACAGAGAGAGATCTTCCATCTGCTGGTTCACTCCCCAAATGGCCACAACAGCCAGGGCTGGGCCAGGCCGAAACCCTGAGACAGGAGCTTCATCTGGGTCTCCCACCTGGGTGCAGGGGCCCCAGGACTTGGGTCGTCTTCTGCTGCTTTCCCAGGTGTATTAGCAGGGAGCTGGATCAGAAGTGGAGCAGCCAAGACTTGAACCAGTGCCTGTTTGGGATACTGGCATTGCAAGTGGCAGCTTAACCCACAGTGCCACAACGCCAGCCCTATACGTGATTTTTCTAGAGTGCGATGCTTCCCAGAATTCCCAGGAGAGCCCCAAGCACATATCAGGAGGGACAAGGTGCATTCTGGGGGATTCCCAGAGCCCCTCCCAGAGTGTGCAGGACTCAGCACCCAGCAGAGCACGAGTCTGGGGTGAGACTGAGTTCCCAGGAGTATTTCAACACAGCCCGTCGGTGGGAGGCGGGAGCACATTCCTGCCTTGGTCCAAAGAGGTGGCCACGAGCCCATCACCTACCAGACCCCCACGAGGCAGCACGTGATCTTGCGGATGGCCGGGGTTCGGAAGAGATCCAGGACCGAGCTGGAGGCGCGCACGCTTGCGAACTCGCTCTGGACGTAGGCGCTCACCGCCTGGGCCAGGAACATCTGGTCAGGGACAGCCAAGGCTCTGGGGCCTCGTGTCCCTGCTGGGAAGACAGCCGGGGCTGGGGCTGGCCGCAGGGTCCTCTTCATCCCGCCCTGATGGCCCTCGCGGGCAGCTGCCAGGGCTTTGAGGTGAAGCCGAGGCTCCGAGGGGAGGCCCCCTCACCCCACTGCAGGTGGAGACTTGGAGAGTGTGACACAGCGCTTTGGAGCAGGCGTCCCGAAGGCTTCTGCCACTTTTGTCCAAGCCTTAGTGTCCTCGTTAGCAAATCTGAGGCATCCCATGGGGTTATAAATGTAAAGCTCTTAGCATAGTTAGCTGTGCCGCACTTGGGACTTATGATGCTGAACGGTGTCTGTCTTAGAAGGGGGCGGGTGTGGGCACAGCGCTGGGGACGCCGCTTGAGACGTCTGCATCCCACACTGAAGAGTCCCAGTGACTGTCTTACAATAAGCAGCCTTTACAATAGTTGTACTTTATTTCAATTGATCCTCCAATAATTTTGTCTTTTCCTAATCCTTTCATTAACATTTTGAGTGGAGCCACTTTCTCACTGCTGAGATGCACAGACTGATGACCCTGGTCACACAGCCCCGACCCAGAGCAGAGCTCTGCCCACTGTGTTATTGCCAGCCCCTGCACCTGGCTGCCAGCTGCTAATGCATAGCATAAGGGGAGGTGGCCGGCCAGCCCGAAGCCTGCTCCCACCCTGCCTTCTGCCCACCCGCTCACCTCCGTGGTCAGCCTCTTGCTCTCCTCCTCTCTTCCGTTCAGGGCGGCCACCTTGCGCAGGTTCTGCAAGGCCTGCTGGGACTTGCCGTGCAGGAGGAGCCACCGGGATGACTCTGGCAGCCACCTGGGACCCAGAGAAGGAGGGAGAAGGACCCAGGGCCGGGTGGAGCTCATGCCAGTCCCTAAACCCAGGCACACCTTCAGCCACGTTCGTTCAGACCCAAAAATGGCGAAATGCCCTCCTGGTGCAGAGCGCGGCAGGAAGCTGGGGCTGGAGCAGGGGGACGGGGAGACGGGGGGGGGGGACAGGGGGACGGGAGGTAGGGGGACGGGGGGATGGGGAGATGGGGAGACAGGGGGACGGGGAGACAGGGGGTGGGGGGACAGGGGGACGGGGTGCGGGGGGATGAGGGGACGGGGGGCGGAGGGACAGGGGGACGGGGGGGGGGACATGCTGGATTCCCCTTCCTTTGAGGCACAGAAATCACGGAAGGGTCCTGAGGACCACAAAGGACTTCAGACTCGGACGGACCCAGTTCTGCTGCTGGTTCCGACTTCAGCCGTGTGGCAGAGCCTCTCTGGGCCGTGCCCAAGTCCCCCTGTTATCAGCGCCACGGGGTTGTGAGGCAGAGAGGAGTTGGCAAAGGCAGGAGCGCTCGGCGCACCCTAGAGCCCCCACCCCCCAGAGGAAGGGATTGTCCCAGAGCTGCCCGGCCTCCACCGTCGCCTCCAGTCCTTTATGTCCCCCCACTCCCAGGCCAGCAGGACCCAGGCAGTGCACACTCCAGCCGCTCCCAGGGCCCGGCAGGTGCACCCTCCCCCACCCTGCCCTGCTGAAGACCTACCAAGAATAGAAGAAAAAGATGAGGAAGGGAGCCGAGACGGCAAACTGCAGCCAGCGCCAGGGCCGGATCAGGTAGGCCACTCCGGCCAGGACGAGCTGCCCCAGCGTGAAGGAGACGCCCAGGAGGATGCCCGCCACGGTCCGGCCCCGCGCGGGCATCCACTCCACGACTGCAGAGGGAGGGAACAGCAGTGCTCAGTCCCCCCCCCCCACCTGGGTGGCCACCTCACCCCAGCCCCTGCTCGGCTCCTCCCCACCTCACTCCTGTTGCCGGGGAAATTGGCTGAATACAATGTTGCCACAGAAAGGTTAGAAGAAATCATGGTAGATTTTTAAAAACAATCTTAGAGGAGGGAAAGGCTTCTCTGAGAATGCCGCAAACCCCAGGAGCAGGGGTGGGGGTGGGGGGCTCAGCAGGGTAAGCCGCAGTGCCGATGCCCATATCCCATTTCGGAGTGCCTGGCTGAGTCCCATTTACTCTTCTGATCCGGCTTCCTGTAATCACATCCCGGGGGCAGCAGGTGACAGTTCAAGTCCCGGCCTCCCGGTGGGAGACCCGGGTGGAGCTCCAGGCTCCTTCCTGGCTTTGGCCCGACCCAGCCCTGGCTGTTGCAGCCTTTTGGGAGTGAATCAGCAGACGGAAGATCTCTCTCTTCCTGTCTCCCCCTCTCCCCCTCTCCCTCTCCCTCTCTACTCTCCCTCTCCCTCTCTACTCTCCCTCTCCCCATCCCCCACCCCCTCCCTCTCTCTCCCTGTCTGTCTCCCTCTCCCCCTCTCTCCCTCTCTCCCTTTCTCCCTCTCTCTCTGTAACAAATAACACGTAAAGGGCTAATTTTCCTAATATTGGACGAGTTCTTATGAATCAACAGGAAAATGATCAGCCAGCCGTAAGGAAACGGGCAGTTCTCTGCCGCGCGTCTGATCGATGGGTCTCCATCAGATGCAGGGATGCTCATATTCATGCAAAGACAAAAAGCGCAGGATTGGCCGGTGCCGCGGCTCACTAGGCTAATCCTCCGCCTGCGGCGCCGGCACACCGGGTTCTAGTCCCGGTCGGTCGGGGCGCCGGATTCTGTCCCGGTTGCCCCTCTTCCAGGCCAGCTCTCTGCTGTGGCCAGGGAGTGCAGTGGAGGATGGCCCAAGTGCTTGGGCCCTGTACCCCATGGGAGACCAGGAGAAGCACCTGGCTCCTGCCATCGGATCAGCCCATCTCTGACCGCTGTGGCCATTTGGGGGGTGAACCAACGGAAGGAAGACCTTTGTCTCTCTCTCTCTCTCTCTCTCTCTCTCTCTAACTCTGCCTGTCAAAAAAAAAAAAAGTGCAGGATTTTTTTTTTTTTTGTAAACAGCAAAATTTGACACAAACTGTCGACCTAAAGAACAGGCCCAAAGGAAACCCTCTAAGGAATAAAGGAATTTAATTGGGAGTGGGCGTGGTGATGGGAATATAACACCTTAGGGAACCTTGGGCCTATTAGAGGTGGGGGAGGAAGTTTTCAAAGGCAAAATGAGGAGGATTGTGTAAATTATCTGAAACCACAATCCCTGGCCACCAGGACTGATAGCAAGGGTGGTGCTGGCCCAGGGTTAAAGAGGCAGCTGGCGGCTGTGGGGTACCTGTGCTTGGGGCTGTCTGGGTCAGTTTGCGGCTCTGAGAGTGCGGGAAGCTCTAGTCACCAGGCGTGTGCGTGAGGGCCCCTCCTTCCCAACTTCCCGTCTGTCTGTCTTGCTTGCTTTGGTGAGGGCTTGACACAAGCACCTCCATGCTGACGCTGACGGCTTGCACAAACCTGAACGTCCATCAGCAGGGGCCTGGTTTCGCCAACCAGTGATGAGCCCTGAGCTGGGGTGGCAAATCCATCAGCAAACCCTGGGGCTTCCGCTTCCAGCCGGAGCCTGCCTCGGGCTCCACCTGCCCTTGCTGCTGTCCTCACCCCCGGCCCGGCTCAGGCCCATCTCGCTGGGATGACGGCAGAGGCCCCGTACCGGGCCTCCCTGCCTCTGTCCCGGTGCCACCTGGCAGCCTCTCGGGGCTCGTCAGATCAGAATTCCCCAGTGGCTCTCATCTCATTTAGTGTCCCAGGCAAGTCCTTAAATTGAACACGAGGCCCCGTGGAGCTGCACCCCCCCCCGACTCATCTGTCACCACCTGCGCCCTCATCAGCCAGGCTCCAGCTACAGGGACCCCTTGTCCTTGGCCCTGGGCGCGCCCCCCACTCAGGGTCTTCACGCTGAGTGCTCTCTCAGCTCCACCAAGTTTGGTTCAAAATGACGCTTTTTCAGCAAAGCAGTTCAGATCGCAGTCCCGCCCCTGCACCCCAATGCTAACCGCCAACCGGCGTCCTACACGGTCCCTTAGTCTCAGCGGCCCTGGCCCACCTTTCCCTCACTGGGACCCAGACTCTGCCCTCTGCTGCATCTCTGGTACCCAGAACGGGCCTGGCTCGAGGAGGCCCCGGATCAATGATGGAGCAGGGGCGGCGCTGTCAAGGGGAGGAATCACCTTTGCAGGCTGGGGGAGCCCTGCCCTTTGGGGAGCCACAGGAGTTGGGGGCTGTCTGTGGCTGTAGGGGCCGCCGTGTCTCACCGCTCCCTTTGTCCTGGTCCCCTCGGTATCCCTTCACCAAGACTGGCCCGCCATGGGGTTAGTAAGTGGCTAGCGTCCACTAACTCGCAAGCGGAGTGCACCTCCCTCCCTCCGCTCACAGGCGAGTGAACAACAACCCGAGCCAGGGTCACTGCCAGCTGCCGTGGGGTCCCTGTCCCGGAGCCCGGCTCCCTCGAGCCCAGAACCGCGGTGGGAGGTCGTGAGCAGAGGTCGCCCCCGAGAGTCCCAGCCGGCCTTGCAGGTGGGCTGGCAGCGGGCCTTACCCAGCGAGAGGGAGTTGAGGATGATGCCGGAGAAGGTCATGCCCATGAGGAAGCGGAAGACGCAGTAGGCGCTGAAGGAGCTGACGTACGCCGTGGCGGCCCCCGAGACCGCCAGCTGCAGGTACGACCAGACCAGCGGCGCCTTGCGGCCCAGCCTGAGCCCAAGGAACGGCACGGCCATCAGGGATCCAGCAGGCGGCAGTGGCAGTGCCCAAAAGGGGCAGAGTGGCAGCCGAGGGGAAGTGGGGTACCCAGGGAAGCCACCCTCAAATCAGGCCTCGAACCGGAACTCAGAACAGGGGAACCGTGGCCGGTCCTGGCCAGGGGAGCAGGACCCAGGGCCAAGACTGTGTGGGGGCGGCTGGGGCCGGGGTTGCTCCACCAGAGGGGTTGAGGCCAGGCTGGCAGGGCAGCCTGCTCTGGCCTTGGCGCTGCCCCATTTGCCAATGAGGGTCCAGGGCCAGAGCGTGTGGCCCCGGCCTTGCCAGGAGGGCAGAGGCCTAGGGGAGAGCAGAAGCCACGGTCCCTCTCTGTGCCCAGGACTCACTGGTACACAAGCGTCCACTGGTTACCTGCAGGTGACAGGCCTGAGCTGAGGGCCCACAGGTGGAAAAGAGGGGAGGCCTTGTGACGTGTGCTGATGGCCATGACCCAGCCCCTCATGGAACCCGGGGCACGCGGGCAGCACCGGAAACTGTCCTCACCCCGGACCCACCTGGGCTGGGAGAGGAGGTGGGGGGAGGGGAGAGGAGGGCCAGCAGGCAGGGGAGGAGAAAGAGGGACCAAGAAGGGGCCTGGGAGCCAAGCGCCAGGCTGTACGTCTGGGTTCCGGCTCGTCGGTGCCGCTGGATGCAGGGGGGAGACGGGAGCACAGGAGAGCTCCAACGTGAAGACAAAGGCCCAGGTCATGCGTGGGGTGCGCCACCATCTGCGGAAGGGCCTTGGGCACGGCGTCCCTCTGGGCACCTCCGGAGGGCGGGGCAGGAGGGGGATGCATCCCCACGCCCCCTTGGCACCTGCTGTCCTCGCTGACCTTGTGAGTGCATTGAGGTGGGAGTGCCCCCAACCTAGAATGCTTGGGACCAGGAGCGTTGCAGACCGAGGCATTTTCTGGATTTGGGAATGTTGGCATAGACCTGCCGAGATGTCCTGGGATAGGACCCAGCACTGATTTCCGATTCACAGACACCTCGCCGGCCCGCGTGGGCTGGGGGGAGCTGCACACACTATTCCTAGAGTACCTGATCCTGACTGCCGCTCTCACCTGGGCTCAGGTGTGCCTCAGGTCGGTGCTCCCTTTCAACTTTTTGAGCATTTTGGGTTTTGGGTTTTCCGATTAGGAATACTCCACTACATATGCATTAGAAAATATATTTAAAAAAAACTCTCATAAGGGAAAAAAATGAAGGCTCGGACCCCAAGCTTTCGCCTATGCTGGGTGGCTGGGCCCCTCCTCCCCACCCCCAAGGCTCACCTGTCTGCCAGGCTGCCAAACACAGCAGCCCCCAGCAGCACCCCCGCCATGTAGATGGACTGGGCCAGGTCGCGCAGCGTGCGGGCCTCACACACCAGATCCCACTGCAAGGAGACGGGGACTCAGCCGGGCCTCGGGCAGCAGCCCCCACGCCGCCCGGGGCCCCGCTGACCTCCGTCACGATGGTGGACGGGAAGACGCTGCGGTCATACTCCCAGCCGTCCACGCAGCCCTCCGTGGCGGCCCCGTGGCCGGAGGAGGCGTTGGGGAGCAGGAGGACCCACTGAGGCTCTGTGAAGCGCCGGCACGAGTCGAGGGCTCCAAGCCGGTCCACGGGCACGGCGGCCCGCAGCCAGACCCCCGAGGTGTTGGTGAGGTTGGCGGGCCCCCGGCAGTGGTGGGGAGGCATGGCGGCTGTGAAGTTCTGCAGGAAGTTGTGGCAGGCCAGCAGGCCACAGGGCAGCAGCAGCAGGGCCGTGTAGACGAGCTGGAAGCGGCCCACGCCACCCAGGGCGTCCAGCAGGTCGGTGAAGGCCATGGCCACGGGCCTGATCCGGGGCCCAGCCTGCCCAGGGCCTTAAGTAGACAGGCTAGGCGGGGCTCCCGGAGGTGGAGGAACAGGGTGGGGGTCAGGACCTCAGATAGCCGGTGGTGGCCGCAGCTCAGAGGGGTCCAGTTACACCTCGCCAGGCCCCTGGTGGCCCCTCCTCTGCAGGGCTCCCCACCCCCAGGCCCTTTCTCTATCTCTCACCTCCCAGAGGACAATACAATTCCTGGAGGGACTGATCTGCCAGCCCAGCCACCCTGCCCACTGCCCTCGGTGGCAGGCCCCAGCAGGGATGGGGAACCGTCACCCCCTCCCCCCAGCAGGGACGGGGAACTGTGACCCTCTTCCCCAGTAGGGGTGTGGAGGCCAGAGCCCTGGGGTGCCAGGAACCCCGGTGACCTTCCCTGCCCACTGCAGGAGTCAGGGAGACTCTGAAGGAAGCTTAGGAACCCCCAAGGGGGGCAGCCTTGATCTCCCTGCCCCCACCCCAGCAGTCTTCAGCCTCAGTACTGGGGTGTGTGAGGGTGCAGGCCTCGGAGAGCACTGGGACCTGTAGGGCTCCCACCCCTCCCTCAAATAAAACTCACAGCAGAGGACAGGGCGGGGCCTGGGACACCCACCTACCCCTTCTCACTGAGGACGTGAGACCCCGCAGAACCCAGCCAGGGACTCCCAGTGAGGAGGAGACAGGGGCAAAATGCCAGCTCCAGATGGCCACAGAGCCCAGGCAGCCTGCCACTCCGGCACCAGGCGTCCAGCTCCCTCTCCCAACGCCAGAGCAGCCGGGGGGGGGGGGGCAGCCCCCCAGCTCCACCCCCACCCTGCAGCGGCTGTCCCAGTTAGTATCTCTGCCCCGCCCCTCTGCACCCCTCTCCTGCCCCTGGCCCACTCTTATCTCAGGAAAGCAGGAACCTGGGAGGGGTTACATAAACTGCAGGTGTCTGGGCTACAGGGCAGCCCCACCCCCAGGGGGGAACCTGAAGGAGGCTCTGGCCAGGAGCTCCCTGGGGGGTCAGGTCTGCGCTAAGTAGGGGTTTGGGTTTCAGCTGGTGGCAGGAGCCTCACCCACCACGTGGGAGCCTGCAGCAAGACAAGGAGGGCGTTTGAGGGCCAGCGCCGCGGCTCACTAGGCTAATCCTCCGCCTTGCGGCGCCGGCACACCGGGTTCTAGTCCCGATCGGGGCACCGGATTCTGTCCTGGTTGCCCCTCTTCCAGGCCAGCTCTCTGCTATGGCCTGGGAGTGCAGTGGAGGATGGCCCGAGTGCTTGGGCCCTGCACCCCATGGGAGACCAGGAAAAGCACCTGGAATGGCCTCCGGCCATTGGAGGGTGAACCAACGGCAAAAGGAAGACCTTTCTCTCTGTCTCTCTCTCTCACTGTCCACTCTGCCTGTCAAAAATTAAAAAAAAAAAAAAAAAAAGGAGGGCGTTTGGGACCAGCAGGGCCACGTGGGTCCCAGTTGTGTGACCCAGTCCCTGTAGCTGGGCCCTGGACCCATCCATCCAGAGAAGCCCCCCCCAGGGTGCTGCACACTGGGGGGGGGGGAGCCAGAGGGCTGCAGGTGCAGGCCACCTGCCCGGTCCCCGCAGGCAGAGAATCCAGGAGCCCTGTAGCAGCAGGTTTGGGAAAAACATTCCACACACAGACGTGGGGCCTTTTCTTTTATTATCTGGGGTTCCCCTGCATGGAGACATGGGCCTCCCCCACCCCAGTGCCTCTGGCACCCCTACCCAGTACCGTAAGAGTCCCCTTTAAAATCACCAATATATAAAAAAGGAGGCAAGAGGGGAGAGAGGGCGGGGGCTGGGCTGGGCTGGGCAGGGGGCATTGGCTTCTCCACGGAAGACACAGGCGACCCCAGTCCCACCTGCGCTGTGCGGAGCTAGTGGTTAGAGTCTGCAGGTGAGGCCAGTGGGCGGGGCGGCCTCTGCGGGGATAGCAGGGGACATGAGGAAGCTGGGGGCCTGGGGTGTCCGTTTCCCTGGGACCCCGGCCCAAGGCAGGAACCGGGGAGCGGAAGCTGCCTTCCCTGCCCAGCCCACAGCTGAAGGAGGCAGGGGGCGACACACAGCTCTGCCAAGGGGGCGGAGGGCACGGCCGCTGGGGAGGCGGGGACAGGCTCCAAGGAAGGCACTTGTAGCTGGCGTGGCCCGGCCTGGCGTGGCCTAGCGTGGCAGGAAGGCGTGGCGGGAAGGCGTGGCGAGAGCGAGAGGGGCAGGGCCCCGCCTCAGGCGAACATGGTCAGCTGTAGCCACTGTGGGGAGAGGCAGGGTCAGCCTCTGCACCAGGCAGCCCCAGCCCCACGCGGGGAGCCACCCCTTCACTGCCTGGGAGAGACCTCTCCCAGTGGGGGCTGCTGTCTCAGGTGCTCCGCCCCGCGATCCCGCCTCCCTGCCCGCGAAAGGACAGGAGAACCCGGGACAGGTAAGGAGACCCTAGACTCCTGACCAGCGGGGGCCCCCAGGAGGCTCCCACCTTGAATAGGTCAAAGGTCACGACTCCATCCAGATCGGTGTCCAGAGTTTTGAAAAATCCTGTGTGTGCAAGCAAAGACGACACGCGGCTCAGACTCGGTGGGGCAGTCACCCAGGGCAGGGCCTGCGCGCCCACTGCTGGGGCACCCCGAGCTCTGTCCCCCACCAGAAGTCCAGGAACAGCTCCTCCTGCTGCCCGAGACACCCCCTACCCCACCCCCACCCCGCCTCCAGCCCCACCCCTCCTCCTCCCCAACCCCGGCACACTGCCCACCTGGCCCACGGGCCCGCCACACCTGCCACTCACAGTCTGCACAGGGACAGCGCGGGCGGCTGGGGACACTCACGGAACATGGTCTCCAGTCGCACCAGGCAGCACACAAAGTTGTCGAAGTCCACGGCCAGGTCGGGCTCCGAGTAGCGGGTGATGATGAGCTCATACAACTTCTTGTTGAGCTTGAAGCCTGGTGGGGAGAGCGGGTGATGTGGGGAGGCTGAGCCTCGGCCCGGGGTCTGGGGCTGGGCGCCAGGGACTCGGGAGCTGGCCAGGGGCGCCTGGGGGGCTGGGCCGACACCTCTCCCCGGGGCAGCCTGGCCCAGGCGCTCCCGGCTGGGCAGGCCAGGTCAGTCACTCTCCCCTCCGAGCCTCCTTCCCCACGTGCACACTGGGGATAATAAACGGCCCCACCCTCACCAGGCTCGGGAACGGGGCAGAAGGCAGAGGGCGGCACCACCATCCCCGCAGCTCCCCAGGGCCAGGGCCAGGGCCGCTGCCCAGCGCAGCTGTCAGGGAAGCAGCCGGGGTGTGTGTGTGTGTGTGTGTGTGCAGGAGCAGCGGGGCCTCACCTGCAGACTCGATGGCCATGCGCATCTCATAGGCGCTCATGCTGCCCGACTTGTCCAGGTCAAACTTCCGGAAGATGGCCTGGGGCAGGGGCAGGGGCAGGGGCGAGGGCCGGGATGAGCCATCCAACTCTTCCTGCCCCCTCCCTTCCCCCAGGTTGTCCCACGGGGAAGGGGAGGCCCGGGAGGTGGGCAGTAGTGGGAAGAAGGCCTCCCCACCCCGGGGGTGGGCGGGTGTCAGGTCACACGTGGCGGGGGGGTGGGGTGGGCAGGGCTGCTGTGACTGAGGGAAGCAGGGCTGGGTGTGCTGGGCGCGGCCCGCGGGGCACCCACCAGGTAATTCCGGATGCGGTTCCACAGGATGTTGAACTCCACCAGGCCCAGCTTGCCGTTACCATCACGCTGGGCGGGTGTTAAGAAGCAAGACCGCGTGGAGGGGCGGCCCCCAGCCAGGCTGCCCCCCTGCCCCAGAGCTGACGGGCTGGGAGGGGGTATTGAGGACCCAGGCCTCGCTCCATCCTTCACTCGATCGTTGGCCAGAAAATGCCCAGAGGGCGTGCGCCCCATCCTCTGCACTCTTCCTGGGACAGCTCACGGAGCGCCTCCCCTGAGCCCCCAGCCCTGAGCCCCAGCCCCGGCCCTGAGCCCCTCGGAGACGAAAGCCGCGGAAAGGATACGTCCATGAGGTTCACCATGCTGCGGCACGACTCCATGCTGAAGCCCTTGGTACGCAGGTCTTTGTCTGTAAGAAAAGCCGGTTCCCACCGCTCAGCCGGGCCGACACTCGGTTCCCACCGCTCAGCCGGGCCGACACTCCCGCCCGCCGCACGGAGGGTAGGGGCCCAGGCGGTCGGATGCAAATGGCAGCGAGGCGGGCTCGGGAAGACTGCAGAGGGCCCCCACGCACACAGACCAAGGGGCCGGTCCCGCCCCGCACGCGTGGGGGCAGCAGCCCGGGTGTGACACCTGGAGGCGGCGGGGCACGACTGGGCACGGCGATGGCGCCCGGACACTCACGTTTGCTGATGATCCTGTTGAGGATGGTCTGCAGCTCCCTGACGCTGATCTCCAGGTCCTGGGGGAGGACGGAGGGAGGGTGGCACCGGCTCCCGGGGGACCGCTGTGCCCTGAGCCGCCTCCCGCCCCCGCCGGCCCTCCCCCCGCCTACCTCCCCTGCCAGTTGTCTGAAGAGAGCCTTGAAGTTTTCATCGATCTCTTCTGCGGAGAGCACTTGCTGCACGGGGAAAGGGGGCAGGTGAGCGGAGCTGCAGCCCCGCCCAGGACAGCGGGGCAGTGGGGCGTGGACGGCTCCGGGGCCGCCCAGCTCCGTCTTCCTGCCTGCGAAGCGGTCCTGCCCCAGCCCCTGCCAGGACTCCCACAGTTTCGCTCAGCGATGACCCCTGCTGTAGACCCTAATTTCTGCAAAGTTCTGAAATTTGAAGTCTTTCTGGTCTCAAGCATTTCAGGTGAGGGACGCTGTGAGGGGCGGGGCCTGCCCAGGGGACAGCACCCCAGGGCCCCGTCGGCCGAGGGGGGCCACGCACCTCGTCAGGGAGATTGGCCTGAATCTGGTCGTCCAGCTCCCTGCGGACAGGGGAGAAAGAGGGGCCGGTTGGCGGGTTGGGGCCAGATGGGGAGGGGGGGTGGGGGGAGCGCCCAGGCCGTGACTCACTGGGTCCCTGCCCTCTTCTCCGAGAAGAAGCGCAGCACGAAGTCGCCCTCCTTGTTGGGCTCGAAGGTCGAGGGCACCACCACGTACTCCCCGGGCGGCAGGCGGAAGCGGGTGCTGACCTCTCGCAGGTTGATGAACTGCTCCGAGCGCGCCCGAGACGCGTTGGCCAGGAAGAAGTCACGCTTCAGGTGCAGGGCGGGCTGGCCCACCAGCTGGCGGGAGGCAGGGGGAGTGGGGCTGCAGCGGCCGCCCGGCCAACCCCTGACTCAGCCCGGACCCACCCAGAGCTGCAGAGCCGGGTCACTCGCAGCCTGTGGGACCCCGACCAGTCACCTGGCCTCCGCAGAGGGTGGGTGCAGACGGTGCCCGTGACCACCTCAGACCGCTTCTCCACAACGTTCTCTTTCTGAATGGCGGCCTCCCCAGGCCCCACAAGGGCACCACACAGGTGGCCCCTCCGAACGCTCACCATGGCCCCCGGGGGAACAGTGGGACTCAAGGGCACAGACCACTCGGCCCAGCCAACGCCCCGCCCCCACCAGGCGCACTTTAAACACCAGGAAAGGAAGCACCTCCCCCCCCCCTGCACCTGTCAGGATGGGGCTCTGGGGTCCCAGGTTCAAATCCAGCCCCGTGGGGAGTGTACTGCCCGCTGAACGAGAAAGTGAGACAAGGCGGAGTTCCCAGCCTGGCGGGGTGGCTGCCCTCTGGGCCATGTGTGCACTCAGGGGCAGGAAATCCAGGTGAGTCAGGAGCCACACCTACCTCCCGAGGGACCTGCAACAGAGACCAGGGCAGGGAGAGATGTGAGTGTCCGGGGGCGAGCTCGAGAGAGCAGCAGGACGAGCAGTCGGGGGCCAGCAGTGACCCAGACCCATCCTTCTGCCAGAGACTGGCCCCAGGGCAGAGGGTCCAGCTGGGCTCTCTGTGTCAGAGGACCAGGACAGTGCCAAGGTGGCCAGCAGCTCTTTCTGTCCCCCCATCCCCCGCCACCACCAGAAAAGTCCGGAAGTTTCTGTCCCTGTCTTGAACACAGTGCATGAGCCAGGACAGGCCCAGGGCCAGAGTCAGGAGTCGCCCCAGAGCCGCCAGCCCTGCCTCTCTGCTCGCGCACACACTTGCAAAGCCGGGAACTCACTGCTCCCTGGCGCTCAGCCAAGCGCTGGCCGCAGACGTCACTCCCAGGTGTCCGCCAAGCCAACTCCCTCATGGCACCCCACCCTCTGGGCAAATTCCAGGACCCTCCCTTCCTGGAGCAGCCTCGAGATGAACCCGGGTGGCCCAGGGCCAAGTGGCACTCAGTGGCGCCCCCTGGCGGAAGCCAGAGGCGCTCACCTCGTACACCGCGAAGCCGATGGTCTCCATGTCGCGGCCGAAGCGGCGCTCGCGCCGGCGGTGTTTCTGCATCAGGGC